CAGACCTCAGAGAACCCTGATGGCCATCATGCTGGGTTTCTCCTGGCTCTTTTTGACCAGTAAGCCCAGTATTTTTTATAATTTTGAGTTTTGTTCCACATTTTCTCCCACTCTATTCAGGGCCTTCTAATGTGATCCTTTTCAGAGCAGTTGGTAGTGGTGGCTGGGCACCATCTAGTTCTTCTGGTTTCAGGGTTGTGGAGACTGTTGTTCACATGTTCCTTTAGTCCATTCTCTTCACTCTTCTTTTCTTCACACAATGAGAGACCAATAGTTGCACCCTAGATGGCCACTAAAGAGCTTTTGGAGTCCTGCTGTGGTGCTGTGGGTTAATGCACTAGACTGCAAAGTCAGTTTGAACCACAAGGTCGGCAGTTCAAGCTCACCAGCTGCTCATTGGAAACTTTATACAGGGACACTGTGGGTTGGAACTGATTCTATGGCACTTAACAACAACTATAAACTATAGGCCAATTGCTCCTCACAAAAGTAATGTGTAGAATACTGTCTTTGTGGATACATAAACTTTGTTTTCTTTTTTAGTTAACAAATTTTACTCAGATGGTAGATTATGAGGGAGCAGATGATTACTTCAAGTTACAGTAAGTATAATTTTTTAAAAACCTTTTCAATATTAAATATCTACTCAGGTTATTGATTTGTAGATTTTTCATCTATTTAAATCGCCTCATTTCTATATATATATATATATCCATCATTCAGATTCCTTGAACTGTGTGAAGAGATGTGAAATTAATATTTAACTGTATAAAACTGTGAACTACCCATTGTAGTTAAATGGAAAACTAACTTTTCTGAAGGTTCTCATTCATTCAAAAAGAAGATAGAGGGGGTTGGGGAGAACATTTTAAGCATATTTTATCCTTAATTCTCATTCCAAAGTCTTGCCGTACAATCCTTAAGCAAAAACAAGAACTCTAATATAACAAAAAGGTTTAAATGTTCATTGTTTTTGTTAAGTGCCATCGAGTTGGTTTCGACCCATAGCTACCCTGAACAGGGTTTCCGAGGCTGTAAATCTTTACGGGAGCAGAGCGCCTCATCTTTCTTCCACGGAGCAGCTGGTATTTTCGAACTGCGGATCTTGTGGTTCGCAGCCCGATTCATAACCACTACGTTACCAGAGCTCCTTTACCACTTTTTACCCTTGGAATAAGGTACCTTCTTGGTGTGATGCTGTAGGATAAAGCACTGAACCTCAAGACTGGTTTGAACTGCAAGATTGGCATTTCAAACTCACCAGCTGCACCTTGGAAACCCTGTACAGGGTCCCTGTGAATTGAGTCAGAATCTACTCAATGACACTTAACAACAACAACAACGAAGGACTTAACAGTAACAACAAAAGGACTTAGAATTTCCAAAGGAAGACGATCAGTCTGGAATTCTGTCTTGAGATATTTATATGGCTGTCCTTGGAGTCCCTGGGTGGTGCAAAGGGTTTTGGAGCTTGGCTGCTATCCAAAAGGTTGGAGATTTGAGTCTACCTAGAGGCATCTCAAGAAAAAGCAATCTACTTCTGAAAGGTCATCTACTGAAGACTTTGTGGAGCACAGCTCTGTTCTGAAACACATGGATTTGCCTACTCAGTGACAAATTGGTTTTATGGTTGCCCATATACCTGGGAGTCCTGGTGTGGCACTGTGGGTTAATGAGCCAGACTGCAAAGCCATTTGAACTGCAAGTTCGGCAGTTCAAGCTCACCAGCCGTTCCTCGGAAACCCTATACAGGGTCACCGTGGGTCCGAACCAACTCGATGGCACTTAACAACATATTACCTGGAGTCCTGGTGTGGTGCTATAGGTTAAAGCACTAGACTGTGAATTGGTTTTGAACCACAAAGTCGACAATTCAAATCCACCAGCTTTTCCTCAGAAACCCTACACAGGGTTCCTATGAGTTGAAACTGACTCAGCGACACTTAACAACAATAACATATTACCTGACTCAATATTTTCTGGAAAAAGTGTCATTTTTTTATAGGGTTTAAGTCCTTTTTTTTTTCAATCTGCCTCTAGTCCAAGTGAGTTTGAGTACAGACTCTATGCCAAGTACTTTCTCAGTGTTTAAAATACATGGTGAACAAGAAGGGTGACGTACTCTTCTCGTGGACCATTATTTCTAGTTGTTGTTGTTTAAGTGCCTTCAAGTCAGCTTCACCTCATAGCAACCCTGTATACACTTTTTGAGGAGCAACTGGTAGATTTGAACCTCAGACTTTGGGGTTACCCAACGGTTGATTGTTCTATAGTGTGCATCCCCCATTAATGTTGTTGTCACCCCTAATGACCTACACATTCTTGGTTGAAAACTGAACCATGGGGGCGACTTTAGTTCCAGACCTGATGCACGACAGGGGCCATAGTCTCAGGCTGTCACCAGTCTCATCTGACCAGTAAGCCTGGTCATTTTTATTATTTTGAGTTTTGTGCCACAGAAAATGCTACTTTTCACATAGTAATCAGAGACCATTCATCCCTTTTCCCTTTACCCACCAAATTTTCTCTTCATTCAGCTAATGTTTATTAATTAATTAATGTTTGTTAATTAATTCATGTTCATTAATCTAATCTTTGGGGGTTTTGTTTTGTTTTGTTTTTGTGGCTATTAGAATTCTGTAGCTGTAGAACAGATATAAAATTGTCCAGGAAACTTTAGGTCAGTGAAAATATGAAAAACTTTGAAATCAGACATCGTAGAAAAGTAAATCTATCTACAAGGGGGAAATTGAAGATGCAATATTTACTTTAGTGTCCTTTACAGATATATATAAGGAGCTCTGGTAGCCAAGTGTTTACAAGTTGGGCTGCTAAACATCAAGGTCAGCAGTTCAAAATTACCAGTAGTTCCGTGGGAGAAAAATGAGGCTTTCTGTTCCCATAAGGATTCACAGCCTCAGAAACCCTACACAGGGTTGCTAGGAGGCAGAACTGACCCCTCGGTGACCATCAGCCACCACAGTTAAATATGATACTACTGAATTTAGCAAAGATGTCATCAAATCTTAAGATCACTTGTATTTTTATGGACTACTGGTTTTCAAGGCTGTGACCTTTCAGAAGCAGATTGTCAGGTCAGTCTTCCAAGGTGCCTTGGATGGATGTGAATCACCAACCTTTCAGATAGAAGTTGAGTGCTTAACTATTTGCTATTATGTTTGTAAGACACCATAATTATAAGATGTGTCCTGATTTCTAAGGTATCAGTTTTAGAATTAATGGAACACAGTAGAGTTGTTTAAAATGTACTATCTGTATATATTATGTTTTATATGATAAATTGGTAAATATAAAAACATAATGAATACTGAAAGACACAGGACTAATATTTGTAATCCTTTTTTTGTGTGTATTTGTTTCCCCCTGGAAAAGTACGCATCTTCTTTTGCTATTTTTGAATCCTCACATTTGCCTGAACACAAACCTATCTTTTGAGACTACCAGGTCATATTATGCAGCTTAATGTGTCTCAGAAATTAATTTCATAACTTACTCTGTATTGTTCCAAGGGCATCAACAGGAGGTGTGGGAGAATCTGTAGGGCCTAGATCAAGCAGTTACCACCATACCCTCCAGACCTCTAGAACTCTTTGTGGTAGGTTCAATCCCATAGTATACATGGGACTTTACATCTGTCTCCACAAGGCAGATTCATATCCACCTGTCTTGTGATTTTGTACTAATCTATATGGGTTGTTTCTCTTAGAGACCAGACATCGGGTACGATGCTTTATCATATTAAGCCTAGTAAACATTCAAAAGCATGTACAGCATCCTTAAAGGTAAGTGATATATAGACAGATGATAAAAAAATGTATTTCAAGTATTGATAGGTGGTAAACTATGAATAATACAGTAACGCATATCACCTCCATACAATGCTGTTGTTGTTATGTGCCATCGAGTTTGTTCCAACCCATAGCAACCCTATATAGGGCTTCTGAGGATGTGAATCTTTACAGGAGCAGAAAGCCTCATCTTTCTTCTGCAGAAATGCTGACAGTTTTGAAATGCTGACCTTGTGGTTCAAATAGACCTTACAGTCTAGCACATAAACCCACAGTGCCACACCAGGATTCCCCTATTTCCTGGCAACATTTTGTAATGTTTTACTGGAGAAATAGCATTATTATATTTTTTTATTATTGTTGTTGTAAAGAATATAACACAACATTTACCAATTTAACATTTTTCAGGTATACTATTTAGTGGTCTCAATTATATTAATCATGCTGTAAAACTGTCTCCCACTTTACTTTGTCTAATTTACTTTCAGAACAGAAGTTCAGATTTCTGCCTTCAGTAAATTTAACATCTAAAGGAAAATATATAAGCATAATAAAAATATAAAGGTACTAATTTTTTTAGGATAATTAAAAATGTGTTAAAGAAAACAAAAATCTTCATAACTGGCTCAGTACGTAACATCATGATAAACGAAGAGAAGACTGAAGTTGTTAAGGATTTCATTATTACTTGAATCCACAATCAATGCCCATGGAAGCAGTAGGTAAGAAATTAAATGACAATAAATCTGCTTGCCCAAGTCATGATGCTTTCAATTACTTCCCATTCATGCAAAAGCTGGACAATGAAAAAGTAAGACTGAAGGAAAATTGACTGATTTGAATTATGATGTTGGTAGAGAATATTGAATATACCATGGACTTCCAGAAGGATGAATAAATCATTATTGGAGGAAGTGCAACCAGAATATTCCTTAAAAGTGAGGATGGTGAGATTTTGTCTCACTGGCTTTGGAAATCAGGAGGGACCAATCCCTGAAGAAGGACTTCATGCTTAGTGAGTAGAGGGTCAGTGAAAAAAAGAAAGATCCTCAATGAGATAGATTAATAGAGTGGTTACAACACTGGGTTCAAATGTAACTGCTGTTGAGACGATGGCACAGGACTGGGCAGCCTTTCATTCTGCTATACACAAAGTAGCTATGCATCAGAGTCGATTCAACGATACCTAACAACCACAACAAAACTGAAGGGAATGGGAACACCTAAAGTTGGATATTGTTTGCCAGAAAACATGCCATATCTATCCTTCATTCTTCAAACAATTCAATCATTTATTCATTTTTAAAAAGTGTATTTTCAGTCTACTGTGTTTCTATGTTTCAGTCACTACTGGGAGTTGTGAACACAAAAAGACTGAGTATCTGCTGTGAGGATAAACATATGTTATCTTAAGAGAGAATAGCAGAGAACAAACAAGATGGCGGATCAGGAAGCAGTGCAGTGAGGAGCTCCGCCAGCAACAACACAGAATACCGGCTCAAGCAGGTTCAGGGGATGGTGCCAGAACTCTAAACCACATATAAAGGAATATTTAGAAGGTTGGAAGGCTTACAGCTAGGGGAATTTGCAGCAGAAACAAGAAATCCATTGCTTTCTAATTCAAGATGCTCAACTGCTCCCGGAGCCACCATCTTGGGTGAGACCAAGTGGGGGAAGGATCAGAACAGCCATGGACACCTGACAGAAACATGGAGAGAAAGGTGTGGACATTCTTGTTTTTTGGTATCTGTTCATTGATCTCTCACTGTCTGCACACCTCCATTCTGTTGACTAGAGGGTGTGCCTGAGAGTGTGGACACCCCACTTCCACCCCTGGAGGGTCCTATTATACATGTGCACAGATCTCCTAGAAATTTTAAGTGACAGTTTCCACTTAAAGCCAAACGGCACCGCGAAATGGCCACAGCCAACCTGGAACTGTTTATCACTAGGAAAAAGGACTGAACAGGGATTGTGGTGCAGGACAGGCAGACTAAAAAGGAAATAAGCCAAAAATTAAATCCTGAGTTATGTCACAACAATAAACAGTGGCATCTTGAAATTTCTCAGGAAGAAGAGTGAAAAGGGAAGCCCATCTCTTGATCACATCAACTTGGAGGCAATCAGAAAGCATAAAAAATACCAAAGTACATACCCATCTAAATATTAAGGCCACAGATAACTCCTGAATATGCCCCAAAACCAAAGCAGATGACCATATCAGCACATGTACAGAAATGAGATAAAGTGACTGAGGAAAATAAGCTGGATACTGGAAGATAGGCAGCCTTTGGAAATGCCTGAGCAGGAATTCACAGAAATGATTATCAAAACACTATACAATGGAGTTGAGAAAAATAAGAAAGAAGTCAGGAAAGCACTACAGGAACAATAAAATAAAATAAAACAAGCAAATAAAATAAAATAGAACAATCAAATAAAATAGATACAATGCAAAACCTACAGAAAGAGGTCCAAACAATTAATAATAGACTATCAGAAATGGACAATAAACTGAAAGGGCAAAGGAATAGAATCAAAGAGATAGAAGCCAGAACTAGTGAGCTAGAAGATAAATCTCTCAACACTACTAAG